TCATTCTGCTGTTACAAATATCTATTGCCAAAATTATTTTAAGACACTATTATCAGGTGCCTATAGGTAATTTTACTCTGAGATGATATTACATGTTCTAATTCAATGTTTTCCTTATCCTTGATGAGAAAGCTTGTTTCCCAATCCTTTAACCATCTTTGTGGATTTTCTAAGTAGCAATATTCTCTCCTTGTACTGCAACTGCCAAAAAATGAGCACAGCAACTGTATTTCAACCACATCATGGCTAAATACAGAGATATTATAACCTTTCTAGTTCTATCCCGTTTTATTGGAAATTAACCAGAAAGTGGTATCGTTAGTGTACTATGGGCTGCTCATGAAAAGTATGATTGAAAAAGATTCAGAAATAATTTCCATAAAGCACAGTTTCAGAAAATGCCCTTGACTTTTCTTGGAAATGAACAAATTCACAGAAAAAGGGGAAAGTTTAGCAAGGAGAGAACAATGCATCTTTTGTCATTGCAACGCCAGAGGTCAGCTGGATGGTTTTGGCAGCTGTTTTTCTGGTCCTGGCTCACCCTGTAGGCTGTCATGTTGGTGGGCCCCTGCCTGGCTGGGCAGAGGCTCCCAAAAGAACCCACTTCATCCTGGCAGGACCAGAAGGGTCACCCGAGCTCCTCAACACTGGGGAAGGGGAAGGAGGGGGCTGAAAGGTTCCATGAATGTTGGTGGTGGGGTTCTTGCTGATCCATGGGTGATATGAGTTATGACCCAGTTTCTCTTTTTTTTTTTTTAGTAGGATAAGTCCAATCTATCCATCTTCTTTCCGCATTCCTTTTTTTCTTTTTTTTTTTATTGTTAGAGGCTGTCCTAATATCAGCTGAGCTCTTTCTCATGTAAGCACTCAAAGAAAGGGTGAGCTTATAGACCCAAGTTTCTGTAACATGGGGTGTTAGCCTTCCTGGTGACAGAGCTATTCTGAATGCTCATGTTTATTTGATTATCCTCCCTAAATCCCCGATCATTCCTTAAAAGTGCCACCAATTTTAGGATTGAATAAGCACCTCTTCCTACCTCCTTCCATTGACTAGTGGACAACCAGAAATAATTCAGATTAGGTTTCTGCATATATATGCCTAAAGTTAGGGAATATTAACTGCCTTGAACAGCCTGAACACTGAAAGGTCAGCACACAAATAATTAAGCTTTTCATGTATGAGGAACACCAATTTCTGCAATAGAGATCCCCAGACATCAGAGCAGGCTGCACAGAGAAGCTGTGGATGCCCTATCCATGAAAGTGTTCCAGGTCAGGCTGTGTGGGGCTTTGGGTATGGTCTAGTGGAGGGTGTCCCTGTCCATGGGAAGCAGGTTGGAACTTTAAGATCCCTTCAAACTCAAACCATTATGTGATTCTATGATTCAATGGTAAACAAAGAAAAAAAGTGCAAAGACGCTACTACTACTGCCATCCCAGGTTCCTCTAAACCTCGTATTCTATTCTCTTGGTAGAGGAATGCTCTGGATAGGTGAAACATAAATATTTCATATATAATTTTGTTGCAGGATGTCACAGAACAATATTCTTCAAAAATATAGCTGATGATTACCATATACTTCACTTTATGAAGATAGACACAGGTAACTATTCAGTGTTATCTATACCAGACTAAGCTGACAAATCTATCTTTTTTACAGAATACTGTTTTCTATCATGCACAATTTTCCAATAGAATAGCCTGCAGCAGTAATTTCCTTGTGTGAGTTGTATTCCATGGAGATACATTTCTGTAAACCACTTTTTTCTTCCTCTTTAGGAAAAATCAATTTTTCTTCCAAGGACAGATTAATAAACTATACCTATTATAATGAATCCCTTTTACTGTTTCCCTCAGGGGCTTAAACACCTTCTAGAATGGTGTGAATTAAAGGGAGCCCAGATACTCTCCTGCTCTTTCCATCTCCTGCTGTTTTCTTTATCTTTGTTTTCCCTTTGCTTTCTCCTATCCACTTGTTCAGCTTCTCTTACTCTGAACCTAAAGTCTCCTCCTGTTTTGCCACTGTGCCTGCATTTTTGGCCTCTGAATCAAAAAAGAACACAAGATAGAAGAATGGACTCTACCCAGGTGTAAAATATATTCTACATCTATTCTTTCTAATTCTGCTGTAGGAGTGTAGACTCACTTTATGATTAAAGTATAGCATATATAGTTTTGTATCTCTTTTGATTACCATTTCGCCTCACAGTTTTGGCTTTGGATGTTTGATTGTGATGCTTCCAGAAGATCTTTAAGAGCAACTCATTCTTCACAGTGCAAGCTTTTTTTTCAGATGTGCAAAATGCTACACCTGGATCCAAGAAATCTATACAGATTGGGCAGAAAAGTGATTGAGCGTAGTCCCGTGAAGAAGGACTTGGGATGATGGTTGACAAAAAACTCAACATGAACCAGCAGTGTGCGCTTGCAGACTATAAAGCCAACTGTATTCTGGGCTGCATCAAAAGCAGTGTGGCGAGCAGGTCAATGAAGGTGACTCTGCCCCTCTACTCTGCTGTCTTGAGATCCCATCTGGCATCCAGTTCTGGTGTCCCTAACATAACTAGGACATGGAACTGCTGGAGCAAGTCCAGAGAAGGGCGACAAAGTTGCTAAGAGGACTGGAGCACCTCCCCTGTGAAAACAGACCGAGCAAGTTGGGGCTGTTCAGCCTGGAGAAGAGAAGGTTACATGGAGACCTCACAGCAGCCTTCCGGTACCTGAGCAGGGCCTGCAAGGAAGCTGGAGAGGGACTTTTCATTAGGAACCGTAGTGATAGGACAAAGAGGAATGGCGTTATGCTGAAAGAGAGTAGGTTTAGATTAGGTGTGAGGAAGAGATTCTTTACTGTGAAGGTGGTGAAGCACTGGAGCAGGTTGCCCACAGAAGCTGTGGATGCCTCATCCCTGGAAGTGTTCCAGGCCAGGTTGGAGGGGCTTTGAGCAATGTGGTTTAGTGGGAATTGTCCTTGTCCGTGGCAGGGGGAATGGAACTAGATGTTCTTTAAGGTGTCTTCCAACCCAGGTCGTTCTATGATTCTCTGATTAATCTGCTACTTGACATTATTGTGAATGACTGTATTATATTATTTCCCCCTTTTTTTACCAGTTTATTATTCCTTAAGATATGTTCATTCTCATTACTTCAGAGATTTAATGGGGTTTGGGACATGTTGAGGAAAGACTGACTTATACCTTTATGTCGGCAGAGGGAATTATAATATGTAATAGTAATTGTCATACTACTGTTCTGAAGGTAGAGTTTATTATATATTTATATTAGCTAACTCAAAAACTTTTAGGAGATAGCAGTACCCCACATATTGTTCTGAATCCTATATTCACAGTGGCTTTTTTGAAAGAAAGAATAATAATAAGAGATTCTCTTTCTTCTCTCCTTTTAAAAATTTTTATCAAACAATGAGACATAATTTGAACTTTGCAGAGAAAGGATTGAACCAGAATAAGACCTTTAATTAAAGTAATTTTATATATCTCCGAGTTCTGTGCTTTTCTGTTTTCTTTAGGGATCATTTCTTGATTGCCACATGTAGCCATAAAGCTACATCTGACCCTACTGACTTAAGTGTGCACATAGATCAAAAGCCATTTCTGAAACTGGTACTATACTTCACCTGTATAGGGATGTTTCTATAATGTAATATTTATACAGTTAATAAGTAACAGCATTCCTCTTCCAAAACCAGGAGTAGAGGTTATTTTGGGATTTTGATAAGGATCCCACAATCAGGAAATCTACTTTTATGCTGAATTGTCCTTGCAATTAGAGGACTTTCTCTTATGCCTAAGAATTATTTACTTTGCTCAAATTTCCACCCATTGCCTATTGTTCTAACTCCAATGCACAGAAGGAACAGTGCACGCCCTTCTTCTCCATAGACTGCCTGTTTCTCTCATAGAAGGGAGAATATTACTTGTTCTTTCTAAGTAATTAGCAAGTCAAATATGATGTAGGAAATCTCTGGCTTTTGAGCACATACTTATATTGCCCTCTGCTGGGTTGGAATGTGAGATTTAACAGAGCACTCATACCTAGGTCTGTTTATAAATATATATATATATATACACAAGCTACTGCAGACATATCTAAGAATGATCTTGGTCAATACTAAACAACAGAAGACATGTTATTTCTCTTCTGAATTTTCCTATGATTTTGTATAAAAATACATCTGAAATTATAAGTGCTTAATTTATCTTTGTGTTACTCTGAAAGTACTCTAAATATGTGTTGAGAACCAAAACTACAAACAAACTTCTTCCATTGAAACTTGTTAATACCATGACTGATTTAGGCCAGTTTTTTAAACCACTTGTTATCATAGTGGGAAACAGAACTGAAGAAATTGCTAAGAATATTAGTAGTGAAATGCACTGCCAGTAACTACGCCTTTATTTGGAGCAAGAAGAGAATTATTCTGTAAGAGACTCACTTTCCTCTTTCCATTTTACTGCAGAATAAAATAACTTGCTCCAAACTAACATTAGCTGATGTTGTAACCTGCAGAAAGTTGGCTCCAGGCTGAAGCATATTTCTTCATTTGGACAAAGGCACTTCCACAATAATGACACTTTTTTTTCACACAGTGACCCAAATGGATTGGGAATTTCTTTGTTGTTGTTGTTGTTGTTCCAAAGAGGCCTTAATGGATTAACTTGCTGGAGGCCTAGGAAAACTAGTGACAGAATGCTCTCGATGAAATAAGTGCAGCCTTTAAAAGCAGTTTCTTCATAAACATCTGAAATATGTCCTAAACTGGTAGAGAACTTAATAGTAATTAGATTTGGGAATGTGTATTAAGTCTTTTATGTCTATCCTCTGTGAATAAATTACTATCTCCTGTGCAGGAAAATTTCAAGATATTTAATTTAGAGTAATTTTTGGTGGCTCTATAAAAATGGTTTCAGTTTATCACACAAAACTGCAGTTCATTCCCTTTACTGATTTTAATAAAAAGATAAATGTTTTCTTGGCTAACTGAAATAATTTTTAAAAGGCCTCCCAAAACCCTGACGTTGTATTTCTGCTTTTTAACTTCTTGTGCTCCTGGAAGGCTGTATGGAGGGAGGTTGCACTGTAGGACCCATTCAGTCTCATGTCTCAGCAGAAAAAATATTTCCAGTGCCTCCATCAACTGCACCTGTGCAAAGCCACAGAGGGGACATAATTTGAATGGTATAATCTTTATTGCTGGTGACAATGTGCAAAGTGAAAATAATCAAGCCTATACCTTAACTCTCATGTTGAGTGTTCAGGGTTGACAGCTATTGTCTTACTTGATAATATAGGCCTATGAAATAATTGAGTCACAGTAATCTTCAACATGTCAGTGTTACCAAGCTACTTTTCAAAATGCCACTGCACTCAAAATGATTCAAGAGCTGGGATTTCCTCTGGGATTTTCTTTGAACAAGTCTCAAAGATTACCAGACCACGCATTTGATCGATGTCTCCAGATGTCATATATATTTTCTTTTCTATAATATCAATCCATTATATTTTCCATTGTATTTCACACAGTATGCAGCACACTTACACCTCAGAAATACGTGTTATCTTATCATCACTGTTTTTCCCTGCAACATATTTCAGAAGAAAATAGAAAATTCCTTAATAAGAAAGACAGGAAGAAAGGTACTTTTGTAAGCCTACAATAGTATAAACAATTCTCAAACAGTGACACTGTTGATGTGCAGCCTTAGAATTTCAAAATAAGTTACTAAAAGAATGAATTGTGTAATCTTACTTGCCTTCTAGTTCTTAAGCCTTTTGAGCATATGCTTGAGTGAAATCTGACTGGATATTGCAACCCAGAAGGTAGGGATTTGAGGGAGTGATTGCTCTCATATTGCAAAGTAAGAATGAGTCTATAAAATTTTACCTTCTGTGCATTTCCAAGTTATCTAGACAGGTAAAAAGAAGATGGAGATAGAAGAACTTCACCCTTGTGTCCATTTGTGCACTTGCTCTGAGAGCAGGGAACTAGACTGGGAGTTGTCATGGTTATGCCTGAAGGAGAGGATGAAGTGCTGCATCCTGAGCCTACTGAGAGAGAGGGTGCTGTCCTTTTCATTTAGGAGCAATGTGATGACATTGTACATTCAGTTCAGCTCCCCTTTTCTTAGTCCTTCTAACTCACTTTCAACTTCCTCCCCTCTCATGATTACATGGGTATGAGGTTTGCCTAAATTCTATTCATGAACATCACTGACCTGAATAGCCAGCTCACAACAAAGGGGGACTTTCCATGTGACTGACTTTGTCTGTCAAGATACTGACAAGATACTTGTGGGGTTTGAGGGACTAACAGCAATTCTCATAGTTTCACACTATTCCAGGCAGCACTTTTTTCCAGCTCAGAAAATTTTAATATAAAAGTGGTTTGTTTGGGTTTTTTGAGCCACGGCTATTACAGTGGCTGCTGTCTGAGTTAAAATGCTTTTTTGTCACTGAAGGAAAAAATCTTTCTCGCTGAAAAATTTTAGTTTGCTATTGGGCATTATTAGCAAAGAGCTGAAAAATGCAGCAGGAGTTTGCTCCTTTATTATGTCTGAGCAGGTTGAAATTCATCTCGAGGTTTCACTTACTAGCACTTCTAGGTATCAGCACAAGGCGGCACTAAAACACTACAGTTCTTCATCCGTCAGTCTAACAGGCATGTATGTAACCAATGTCTCTCTTGACAGGCACACCCGACAAGTTAGCACCAGCGAACAACAAACTGTTGTTTAAACTATTATTCAGTGCATCATGCTTTTACATTTGTGCATGCATCCCTCAATGTGCTGCTCTGTTTGTGAGAACAGGTTTTCCATGTAGATTGATGGATTGATAAGAAAAGCCCAGCTGCAGGCAGCTGGTCCTGGATTTCCTTCCCTGATGGAGTAGAAAAGTAGTTGGATAATCTGATCAAAAGGGAAAACATCTGCTGCCATAAAAATTGAAGCAACGATATGGGGTCTCGAAAAGAACATAACAGAGTTATTCTTTTATTGTATATTATAAAGAAGTTTTAGAATTAAATACATGGAAGAGAGTGAGTCAAAAAGAAGTGGTGTATTTCAATGTTACTTACATTCACAGGATCATTTTGGATTTCTATTTAGATAAAAAATATGGAAATATGATCTTGCAATATTAATTTACCCATCAAGCACATCTTTCATCAAAGTCTAATGTCATTATGCTCCCCATAAATCAAGAGAGGGTAAAGCAAAATGAGGCAAAGGAATGTATCTTCATGAGTTTAAGGGGATGATACTAATGATTTCATATTTAATGAAACCAGTGATAGCATTTGATTTCATATTTCACTTGCTTTACTCTGATGCATGAGGGGTACAGGACACTGGAGAAAGAGTGGCTCTGTGTTGTATTGATGGCCACAATCTTTAAGTGCTAGTACTTTCAAGAGCAGCAGGTGCTAATGAGATCCCATCAAAGCAACCTCATTTACACAGACAAGCCTGCAGAGAGCACCTCAAGTATACGGGTAGCGGGCAAGCACAGGCTAATCCACTCAGAAGGAAAATGAGATATGTCAATAAAAGTCTGGCTTGGCCTTGCTACCAAGCTGGTGCTCAGGGGATGTGGAGGTGGAATCAATCTCCTCCTCTGTCTAGTGCACTCAGTCCCAAGTGGTAAAAACTTAGAAGAAACTTGCTCACAGAGTTCTGAGTTTGGAGACAAAAGAAATATTCTGAACATGTTTGGATATATTTCAGACCCATGTTCTTTCTTCATAGTCACTTCAAGAAAAGGTGACACAGCACAGGGACTAGACAGAGGAAATGTTTCAAAGAGACAGGAGCTCTCAGTAGTACTTAGTTCAACATCTCTCCAGATAGAGAGATGTAACGGCATGAATTCTGCCAGAATAACCTATATGAGTGGGGAATTGGACCAGAAGGAATTCAGAGGTCCCTTCAAACATAAATTAGTCTATGAATTTGAAAAGTTACACTAGATTCAGAAATTAATTTTGCCCAGTCCTCTACAAAATCAGATAAAAATCAGATGTTTTCTGTCTGGTATACAAAACCGATTGTTCAACACAGGGTATTGAATGGGAGTAAGGACAAGAGAAGAAAGACTGGGAGATGGAGGAGAAGAACAGGCCCTTCTTAAGTTGCCAAGTCAATTTATTGTGTAAATTGCACTATCAGAGATCAAGGTGGAATTCCAATACTGGATCAGAAACTATGATCAGCCTTGTCTGCCCTATCCTTGAACTTTTTCTGAAGGTTTCCAGTGTGTGGTGTATCAGGAGACAGAAGACATTATGTTCCTCCTTTTCCTTATGGCAAAATTTGTTCCCTGGGAGTTTTTATCCTAACTTCTGACAATGACAGACTGATGGCAATTATAAAGTACTGACCTGTGATATTGGCATGAAATATCAGGGGTTTCTTTCTCAAACTATATTTTATTTATGTGGAGGTTTTTTTTGTTTGGGTTAGTTTCCTTTATTTTATTTTTTTTTTTTTAATATGGATAATTTCAGACTTCCTAGATAACTTCTTTCTCTTTCAAGGACTATTTTAAAAGTTTTTAGAAATTGTTTTTTCTTAATCAATTGTCTTTGGATTTTTAGCAAAACCAGGCTTGCAACTCTTTGGCTATTGAATGCTGAATTGTTGTAGCAAATTGCTCAATCTACTGTGTCTTTTAGATACCTCTATGTACATGCATATTCTCTGGATGATGTGTGCCTTTCATATCTGCTCCTCCTCTGCCTTCTCTTGAGTTGGAGCATCATGTTAATAAAGACCATACTAATGTCTACAAAACCAGACTTGTGATAACTTTATTTCTCTGACTAAAAAGAAGACTTTAACAATATCCATAGATATACAAGATTATCATGGACAGTCACCAAAATTATCAAGAATATATATATGTAATTTCAATTCAGAGATTCTCTGAAAATCAGTGGTGCCATCAGTGATTAGCCAGTGATTAGCCAGTCCTAGAAGAAATATATATTTCACACCAAACACACTTAAAACCCATGTCTACTGATATCCAGCAAATTACTTGATGCTTAGCTCTAAGTACTAAAATTTACATATTTTAAATTTAAAATAAAAATCTGTAAATGCAATGATTATATTTGTTTGTTTATTTGTTTCTAAAGTAACCTGAAAAGACGACACAAAATAGTTACAGAGAAAATGTATAAATTAAAAGTGTAGAACAACTTTGAGCAGTCACAAAAATTGCAGCTTCATTAGGAAGAAAATATGTGACCCTAGTAACTTGCATGTTTATGCTCACCATACCTGACCCACATAAATTTATAAAAGCTCTTGAATCAGGGGTCTTAATTCTGATGAGAAGCAGTAGTCTTGTACTGTACCATTAAATCTGATGGAAAAATTACTAGTCAAATCAATAGGAATATAAATGAGAGTTTTCTAATTAGAATAGTTAATGTATTAATGGATCTATCAAAAAAAAAAGAAAAAAAAGAAAAAAATGCTAAGTCCATGAATGGTATCTGAATTGACATTTTGGACTTGAAAACTTAAATGCTTGATGTAGCTCCTGTTGATGTTCAACAAATAACAGCTTTTCTCCAGCCTGTCCAACAATTGAACAGTACCCACAAAGTACCTGCGCAGTAGCCTGCAAAGGCGATAAAGATCAAAAGATTCTTAACAAATATAAATAAACAAATATATAGAGATCAAAATATTATGAGAAATAAAACCATATTTCATGTGTTCATTGTGTTCCATAAATCTTTACCGGGTAATAAAGTAACTTTTTTTTTTTTGTAATTCTGGTTTATTTATCCACACAGGACTATGGAGAAACATATCTACAAAACAGAACCTGTTTATACTGTCAAGTTCTACAACTACTTTGCCAAACTGAAAGTGTCATTTGGCTACGAGTTTGACACTTTAACTCTCCACACAATTGGAGAATTAATATACTCCATCTTTTATATAGATATTTCTTCACTGGGTGACCGAGAGATAAAGTCTTGTAATCTGCAGAGATTTCTGTCTTTAAGGAGTAACTTGAGATTAAATCCATAGCATATCTTTATTGTTTTACTAGATGTCTACATTTGGTTTTTTGTTCCCTTTATCTTTTATGAATATCAGTGGGGTTTGTATTGTTTTTGAGCTC